GATTGAATAAAGAATTATAAATGTTTTGACCACCGAGTGGGGTTTTCTCTGTTCTATCATGGGGATCAAAGAATCGGGTTTAATAATCTATAGCAGCTGAGAGTTTAGCAGGCAAGAGAAAGCTGCTGATGTCCTCCAGCATGCGCACACTTTCATATCTTAGTGAGGACATCTCATTGACATAATGCTTTCCCTAGCTACTCTAACCCTAAGTCCTAACCCTCAGCCTAAACCTAATTGTAACCCTGACACTAAAATTACATTTTGAGCCTTCAAAGTTGGGTGACGGGCGTTTTGTTACCATAAGTGACCGTTGGTCCCCACAAGTAAACTAGCATGCTACTTTTGTCCTCAGAAAGATGTCCAAACATGTGCACATGCACACACATGCCGTCAGCATTCACTTATTAGCTCCTTTCAAAATGCAGTATTTGTATTTTTTTTCAAGTAATTTTCTCTGTGAGCTTCCTTCTGATGAGCAGGTGTGATATACAGACCTGCCATCGAGGTATCTGAGAGCCATCAGAAGGAGACAGGCTCTCCCTCGTTGTCTCGCTTTGCTGCAGATTGATATCAAGTGTGTTGAAGGACACCATGTGTGCAGCGGCCGGCTGTGCACGTGTCCAGTGTGTGTGTGCGCGCGCATTTAGGAAAACAGGCCGGGCACACTCACACGGAAAGGGACAGCCTGCCCGTTAATTACGAAAGCTAACAGAGCAGCTGCTGATTCACTCCGGTGTCAGTGAGATTCACAGCAGGACGGAGAAGCTCAGGCGGGACAAGAAGCATTAAGATGGACATGCTGTGACTCACATAAAGTGAAGAGTAATGCTATCAGCTCATGTAGTTCAGGGACTTTAGCTGTTTTAGATGGAGACGCATCAGAAACTTCTCATGCGGTGCAGATAGCTTGAACTTGAAATGTGCCCAGTTTCAAGTGTACGCATGAATTTACTGTTTAGAATCTTCTCTGCCAATCGAATAACATCTTGAGTCCAAAACATTCGAAGCACTGTTTACAACAAGCCTCATTCACCCAATCATACACACATTCATACAGGTGCTGTTTGTCTTCATCTCTCTTGTACTTAGTCTGATATTTGAATACACATCCACACTCTGACGGATGCATCAGGGTTCAGTATCGTGCTCAACGATGCTTTGACATCCAGACTGGAAAAAGCTGGGAAATCGATCTTTCAACCTTCCGATTGGTAGATGACCGTACATCACCCATACATGTTTTCTATCTCAACATAACACCTGCTGTAAAGTTGGTCTGTTTTATACATGCCATGATAACTATGATTTTCCTTACTGCTCTCATACAAAATGTGATGGGCTTGTGTGTGTTACTGCTATCAATTCATGCATTTAAAATTGTGTTTAATAAGGTAAGCGAACATCTATATGTAGGAATATTTATTACTATTATTAACAGCTAATTTTCTACTAATAAAATGCAGAAGACTTGGGGTGAAAACTGAGAATGAGTAGTGGAAGTGTGTGTGTGTGTGTGTGTGTGTGTGTGTGTGTGTGTGTGTGTGTGTGTG